AGAGCCTGCTCCGCCGGGAGCTTGTCCCTGCGACCGCCGCTGCCGGCCCCTCACGCAGTGCCACAGGTTCGGGCATCTCTCGGCTTTCTAGAGGCAAAAGAGGCAGGAGACACCTCCATGCACGGAGCTAGACTGAGAAAAGGGGTTGGTCTCAGTGAGCTCTCCGCTGCTGCGTGTTAAGAGGCAGTGGTTATGAAATAACACCAGTGAGCGCTGGGAGAGGGTAGATGCTGGCGAGCGCTCTCGCAGGCCCCGAGACACGACAGGCAGGGTTTGTTCCACCCTGGCCTCCTCATCCACCTCTCCTGGGGCTGAGAGTAAGCAGAGCTGATCACAGCTGCTGACCTTCCCCTTGAGAAGCCCATGCCCGCAGCTCACCAAGCTCCATGTTCTCCCAAAAGCAGGCTCCAGGCATTATGGCCAACTTTCCTCATACTGTGAAGTCAGACCATCTAACAAAGTTGTCAGAGGGCTCTTCACAGTTCCCATTTCAGACTCTCAGTGCCTAGCTTTAGGAGCCCAAATATCAGAAAAGACTTTGGAGTTGATCTTAAGGGAAATTCATTGAACTCCAACAAAATCCATGTGTGTTCATTTCTGCCATGAAACACTTACACTGAAGATCAGATACAATCAACCTTGCAGACTTTAAGATAGCTTTAACTCATTTTAAATCGACTAGTGTTTAGCATAGGTATTCTGCAGACCTAGAGGTCAATCTTGCCCTAGGTTGTATTGCATGGAACATCACTAATGCAGGATAAGCTATAGTAAGTATAGGAATAACAGCCAAGAACCGACCTGGTGCATTAAGAGATTATCATACAGTAGTTTGGGTTGGAAGGGACCTTTAAAGGTCATCTAGTCCAATCCCCCTACAATAAGCAGGGATATCTTCAACTAGATAAGGTTGCTCAGAGCTCCGTCCAGCCTGACCTTGAATGTTTCCAGGGATGGGGCATCTACCACCTCTGAAAAGCCTGTGCTAGTGTTTCACTACCCTCACAGTGAAAAATTTCTTCCTTATATCTAGTATAAATCTACCCTCTTCCAGTTTAAAACCGTTATCCCTTGTCAAATCACAACAGCCTGCTAAGAAGTTTGTCCCAGTCTTTCTTATAAGCCCCCTCAAGTACTGAAAGACTACAATAAGGTCTCCCTCTCCAAGGCTGAACAACCCCAACTCTCTCAGCTGGTCCCCCCAGGAGAGGTGTTCCATCCCTCTGATCATTTTGGTGGCCTCCTCTGGACCTACTCCAACAGGTCCATGTCTTTCCTGTGCAGAGTACTCCAAACAGTACTCCAGGTGGGGTCTCAGCAGAGCTGAGTAGAGGGGCAGAATCCCCTCCCTCAGCCTACTGGCTATGCTTCTTTGGATGCAGCCCAGGATACAGTTGGCCTTCTGGGCTGTGAGTGCACATTGCCAGCTCATGTCCAACTTTTCATCTATACCAGTACCCCCACGTATATATATTATGTATATATTATAGCAGTTATTCCTCAAGTTTGTGAATTATATCTAGGAGCTGAATGGTTACAGTTAAGGAAAAAGGCATGTCACAATGAGATACAGCAGCCTTTTAGCAAATTTACCCTGTTTCTCCCTGTTTCAGTATGCCAGTCCCTATAGTTATCTTACCTGAAGGCTGTTGCTGTACATGGGTTTGGTTTGTGTGTACCCTGGGGTAAGCAGCATTATTCTTGCAGGGACACCAAGAAGTTCTCTTCCATTGACCCAGATCATTGATCAAGCTTGTCAGGAGGCAGAAGCTTACAAGGATGCTGGAGTTGTAAGTTTTGGTTTCCTTCTTCCTATGGCAGCATTTACACAAGGCTGCTTCTGCATAGCAAATATTTTAAATTGAGTCTATAATTCATCAAAAGCATCTTAAACCATACAGTTTGGGAAGATGTTTAAATCCACATCTTTTATTTCAACATAGTAAGTAGGCCTTCTAGATTGCAAAACCCAAAATAAGCATCACACACACCCAAAGCAATTGAAAAAGCTTAGATTCAAATTGTACAATTCATATTGCTTAAGTTGGATTACCTTCAACTTGTAAGAATCAAGTCAATTGAAGAGGGGGGAGAAAAACACAGATAGGAAGTTGACTGCAACATGGATGGTTGCTGGCATTCTAAGTATCTGGCTGTAGGATGCTTCATCATCCACTCTGACAAGCCACTGTATTTTTAGCTCTGTACAGTACTCTGATTTCACGAAGTCATGGAGGAATGCCATGTGCACAGCCAAGGCACTGTGTACCTCAGTTACTTGTAGGCTGCAGGATTGCCCCACATTTGTGTTTATACCAAAAGAGCACAGATTATTCAGGGACTAAAAAAGCTTAGGTCCTTTTCTACCCTCTTTAACCCTTCTATCCTAGACCTCTGGCAGCAAGCATGCTTACTTTGTGCATCTAGAGAAGGCCCAAAAGGCCAGTCTCAGCCAGAGGCAAGAAGAGGCAGGTACTGCTGACTGAATTGCTGTTGGAGCTGAAGTGGTGTAGTAACCTTCATAGGTCAGTAGATTTTAACAGGGTATATGTCCTTTTGAAAGGTCAGATATGTTTTAAACATTTCACTGCATCTTGTCTTTAGGTGTTGATGTGCTTTTTCTTTGATCTGCTTACTGTGTTATGTACATTTTCTGGCATGGCAAGGTGGTGTCCTAATGTCCAAGGTTTTCAAATGTCTTAAATGAACAAGTAGTCACTGCTCTGAGCTGCTGTTTTCTGCAAAACTCAGTAACAAGCCAGTTGAAACCTTTTTAATGGCATAAATTAGAATGATACTTTACAGACTGAACAAAATTGGATATAAGAGCTAAATTACAGAAGATCAAGGTCAAAATGCAAGACAAGTCACACAAAACAGGTTACAGGCAGAGCGCTAGTAAGGCTAAATTAGGAAAAAACCAGTGCAGAAGAATAAAGTTTACATAGGCAGGCCTATGAACAAGATGGGCATATGCAAGATGTTCACCCACTTAGAATAATGTCTAACTGCAAGTTGTACAGAATGAGTAAGTTCCCTTCCTTTTCATGCCTGTTGAAAGAACAGGTGTGCAACAGCTCTGTATTCTGTACTGTGACTTTATATTTTGTCTTTACAGTCACAGTATCAACATGAGATATAATGTGATTTGATCTACATCAGAAGAGTGGCAAGTACTAGTCTCTGTCTTCCTGTGTTAGAGGAAGTGGTTGCACAAGTGATCTGTAACTCTTAAAGCCACTGCCCCACATTCCAGTGCTTGTTTACCCTTTTCCCTTAGATGCTAATTGCACATTGAAACCTTTAGCAACAGGGAGAAAACACGAAGTATACCTAAAGTTAAGGGAGGGTACAGAAGCAGTTGCTTTCACTGCTGACATGCACAAAGCTGGAACAGTTTTAAGACAAGCTTGAAAAATCAGTACTAACCCAAAATTTTGAATTGGGTTTTATACAGTTCTAATAAATTCTGCTATTCCAGGTCTAACTGATTTACCTTTTCTCTTATTGCATTGCAGTCTCTGAACTTGAATATATTTTTAAACCTACCTCTCAGGTAGGCAGGTGAGGCGAATGCAGTCATTGCTCTACAGATTTGGACAATTTCAAGGCTTAAAGTTGTAACTTCTACAGGAAATAGACTAAGCATAAGAACATACATTCCACACCAGTCTTCATTCTGAAGGTCTGTACACAGTAGCATTACAGCAATATGACAAACAAATCCTTTATTAATGCCATAAAGGTCAGAGATAATCACAAGAATTTCCATAAATATCAGTAGGGTTGCCTAACAGTTTCTGCAATTCACTTGTCCAGTTTTTCCTGGTACTTTAAGAGTAATGCAAGTTTTCATGACAGCTACTTCAAGAGCTTCCCACTCTTCCAAACTAGCTGTTCTGCTTCTGTAATGGGAATATATTTGGGTTTTTCCCTCAGTACTCCAAGTGAACGATTAAGCTGTCTGTTTTTCTTGTGGAAAAAGAGCTAAAAACTTGAAGTTTTTTTCCACAGATGTTTCTACTGACAGTATTTCCAAATACTGCTTATAGTAGCCTTTAAGAAGATACATAACCATCTTGCTGCTACTAGGTGTTTACATATTAACACCAGTTAAAGCAACTTGAGACAACATTTAAAAATAAAGTATATGGTCTTGCTCACTCAATATGCATTGCACTTGGGAGTAAATCCTAGTATATTCAGAAAAAGGTGACTTGTCTGGCACATTAACAGCTTAACATAATAAATATGAAAGATTTGTGATACTAGAGCACAGTAATGAAAACAAGTGAGTGCTCAGTTAGGAAGCCATCTGTGCTCAAAATGTATATGCTTTGTACTTGCGTGTTGTTAAACAATGAAATTCCCTAGACAAGATTTTATAAGCAGCAAGCTCTGAGGCATTATGATCCCTCCAGTTTGTATCTGCTTTTGTTTAAGCAAAAAGTAAAATACATATTCAGGTTAACTTTTACTCCTTCCAATCAGCCTGGGTGAAGCTTTCTTCACAGCCAGAAAATAGACCACAAGTTCCCTCTAATTTCATTGATATCGATTACTTTACTACTAATTGCTGTTATCTAGCTGTAGCTCTGAGTAGCTAACAGTTAGAGATACATAAGTAAAACTATTTCCATTTAAAAAAATCCCAAAAGCATAAAGCTACATTGAGTTGCAAATATTATCGTACTTCTTACTGCACAAAATCTTAGGTTTTCATCTTTTACCAATGATGTTTCTGGAGATACATTCATTGCTATTCTGATCCTCCTGACCCTTCTTTTGCCTCTGTACCTGGAAGGGTAGTTGCTAGTATGTATTTTATGTTGATGTTTTTAAAAAGTGAAACATTTCAAGCCTATTACTCTTATAACTACAGTAATAGTTAGAATTCAAATTACTTAGAGTTTAATAACAGTTGAGACAGAATAAACTAGTATTTCCACATAGAAACATGTAGGTAGTTATCAATTAGATTACAGAGGTTAGCATTTCAAATCTTAGCTATATTGCAGTAGAATAAAATAGCAGACAAACCTCCCCACAACTACCTCCTATGGTATATGCAGGAAAACAGAAGATATCTACTTACCTATATTAAGGCAGTAATCTCTTGCTCTGGAAGTAGAGTGTTTAAAGGAATTGCTAGGAAGCTGTGCCTAGGCACAGCAAATAAATGCTCTACAAAGGCACCTGATTTCCTTTATAAAGGGCACATGACTGTGGTGGTGGGAAAGGCTGTGAATGTCTTAGTACAAATCTGAGTGTATATAATAATGAGTATAGTGCAAAAGCCCTTTTTCTCCTCAGGGAAAGAGTAGTTCTTTTAAGCTTTCAAAGGTTTCTATTAGTATGTATGTGTTTGTAGGTAAAGCTTTTCTCTTAGCAGAAACACTGGGGTTAAAGTTGCCCTAGGTAATAGTTACATTAGGTCGATGTGGAGTTAAAGGTTGTATGATTGTTATACCTGTTGTGGCTTATAGTATTGTGACTATTTTTTGAGGCTTTTCTGCTGTGATATGTGTATGCGTGGCTGAAGTGTTCTAAGAGGTCATTGCTGTAAGTGGAATAAAGCTAAGGAAATTATTTTTCTATATAATCAGAGACCTATTTAAATGATGTATTTTTCCAGTAGCTAACTGTGATACAAGAGGCATTTTGCACATACGTAACACTTCAGAAGTCATTCAAAGTAAAAAGGAAATATACTGTTTGATAATTACTTATAATAAGGCTATTATATGTAAGCAACACTTCAATCATCATAATATTCAATGGAAAAGGAACACAAAAGGTGTTTGCTAGAGTTCTATCTTGTACTATCCAAATAAATTCTGCTCTGGAGGGTGTAATAGAGTAGCTGTTCCCATAGACTTCTGAGCTATAAGCTTAAGTTCCAAGAACTTTAATTCAGCATAACTGTTTTCTTTCCACCATTTTAATTAGCAGTCTGATACTACTGAAGTCTGTTTTATATATATATCAATTCAGTAAACACAGAAATCTGTGGTGTTATATTTTTGTATAAAATATGAAAGAAAGCTTTGAGTTAATGCATCTGTAATTCAACTCTCTGTATTGCAGAACATATGTTGTTCTTTTTTAATTAAACAAGACATGATATGCAAAAAACCATAGTCTATCGGATGGTACCAAAAGAATAACACATTATTAAAGTAATACCAAAAATATTCACTGTAACTGTGAACCTTGAGGCCATAGGATGAGAGAACTGCTGAGAAGTGAATATAGTAAGTTTAAGACAGAAAAGAAAAATGCTGGGATCCTCCCATATGCCTGCATTTTGAACTAGAATTTTGAACTAGGTACTTTTTATGCACAGTAGAGTAGCTAGGGTTTTAAAACAATTTTGAAATTAATTCATTAATGTAGCTAACGGAATAATTTGCTTTATGCAAATCCTGACCTGTCAAAGTAGTAGCAACTCACAGAAAGTTCAGTTTCACTGCAGTGCTCCTGTGGAATTCTGCCAGCCCGTTCTCCTGCTTTTTTGGCTGCTAGTGTGGCTCTTCAGGAGCCGAGTATCTGAAACCCTATTCCCAGATGCCTTTTTCCTGTGTGTCATATTGAGGTTGATTCTTGACTGCCTGAAAGCCTGTGTCTTCTTATTTACAGATCCTAGCTCCTTGCCATTATGATAAGCTTGGATTGTCCCAGTTATCCAAGTTTTGGTGAAATCTGCTAAGTAGAGTATTCTTGAGCCAAGGACTAAGGGCTTCCAGGTTTTGTGTTTAAACCTGGAATTACCTGGTTTTGAAGGTTTGTTAAAATACTATAGTCCTACATTAATCCTTTTGCCACATGCTACTACTGACCAACTTTGCATTCTTGCATAGACTGACCTAATATATTTATGTGTACAGCGGGCAAAAGGCTACGGGATTTATCTTTCTGTTGGTACCACAAAGGATTCAGTATTTGTGCCTGAGGTAGAAGACCATTTGGTCGGTTCATGTTTATTGGAATAGTCCTGACCTCATTCTAGAGAAACTGACTCAAAGTTTGTGATTTTTTTGTTCTCATTTCTGAAAATGCTGTGGGTTTTCTGAGGACTGGTTGTCATTGTTGTCATATGGCGACCTCCCACCACAGGTAGAGAAGTGTGGATGTTAAATTATACGTTTAATTGGCCATAGGAACAAAATCAAGGACAGAAGTTTTGGTTAGTTGTCATAGCTGGTTTTCCTTTGGCTAGTTGAGGTTTTCTTAGACTGGAATTCTGTAATTAAGCTGATGAATGGCACCAAGTAGTGTGCAGGTCTAACAATGGCTGCTCATAATATCAGATCACTTTTTCCATTAATAGGTTATGTTGTTTTGTTTTTAAGGTAGCATGTACTTTGTGTATTTAAGTACTCAGCTGTAAGTTATACGGTAAAGGCTGTTGTACCTTGGTGCACTGAGCGTTATGTGGGTCGTGTGCTTGGACTGACCATATTGTTCCACCGGATTATTTCCTTTTTCAGCTTTCCCCATCCTCCATGTTAGGTGTTCATTTATGATGTCTGTGGCTTAGCCTGCAATTCAGCCATTAAATGCTGACTGCATTTTATATACTATCTTACCTTTTACTGCCGGAAGGGCTTCTACATACAACAAAGATTAAAGAAGCGTTACATAGGAAAGATTTTAGAAAAGGAAACCTTTTTTTTCCCCCTTCCTGATTCTCTGTGTTGTTACTATTAACCAAACTTTTTTGTTTAATCTCTAGTTGTTTGTTGGGTGGTTTGTTTTTTTTTTCCCCCCAAATGTTCTTTCTATTCTAGTTCAGTTAGAATGTCTTTGAAATTTAAAGCCCTCATTTTAAAGGATTAAGATATATGGCAAACCTCCCGAGAGAGTGGAATTTATTTTCTATAGATACAATTAATTTGTCTGTTAAACATTTTGTATTTTAGATTGAAGAAGATGAGAAATTTCTAGCTTCCTTTAACATTCTCACTGCAAATGCAAAATATCAGGCTGGAAATAGGCTTCAAGGCTATACTTTTACTCTTGTTATTAGTCCTTGACAAAATTATATATGATTTGCAGTTGTTGGAAACTTCCAGGTATATACTATGCAACAATTGGAAAAGTAGAAGGTATGAGATAATGTACAAAGATTTTTCAATAAATTGCATAAATTATATCAGCAGAGTATTTTATCATCATTCCATTGTTTGCTAAGAGTATGTCTGTGTGGAGTGGGAGGTATAGTAGATAATAAATAGCAATATCTTCCTGCAAGTAATTCTGAATCCAGAATGGGAGAAATACCAATACTTAATGCTATGGTGTTAGGCACACTGCAAATAGGCACAATAATAGTCAAACAAAAAATTCCTTTATTTATCCAAAATAATACTTATTTTCTGACATTAATTGAATTGAAAATTGCCTTGATTATCTCTAAATCCTCTGTTATCCAAACATACTCAATATCCTATATTCCACTTGGATAATTGAAGTTTGACTCTACACTATTTTTAATGAGGTATAAGATTTAACTCATTCGCCTATAGTTCACATTTTAGGATGGATCAAAGGAAACCCAATTGATGAACGTATAATTAAAATCACATTTATTTCTCTTCATGATTTCCCTGCAAATACCATGCTGTTGATTAAAGCACTTTTGTAAGTGGTTGCATGCATCAACGCAGTTTACTGTAGATAATCCTTCCTTTGAAGGAAAACCTTTAAACCCGTGTGCCTTTTAATACAAAACAGCGTGCTGGTAAACTAGCCATGTTTTTTAAGTTCTTTTTTTCCCGGTTTAAGCATATTTCTTTACAATAATCTCCACAGGATGGCTTGATCGTAGAAAACATGCACGACCTTCCTTACACAGTGTGTCCTGGGCCTGAAGTCACGGCGGCAATGACAGTCATCAGCGCTGCAGTGAGACAAACCTGCCCCCGTCTCGCGCTGGGTGTCCAGGTCCTGTGTGCGGCAAATCAACAGGCGGTCGCGGTCGCTCTTGCTGCAGGTAATAGAAATGACTCGTCAGTTAGTACTGTTGCTTGCTATGGCATTTACTCTCTGCAAATTGTGCATTGTACTAACATAGATACCATGAAAAATGAGACATGAAAAGCTCACTGTACCCTGAAAAAGCAGAAATTAGATTTTGAGAAAGATGCCTGCTTGATTATAATAGATGATACTTGCGCACTGCTTCAGTTGGAGGCAGCTAAAAATCCCAAGGCCGCTGCCGCAGCTTTCTAGGTGAAACCTGTCTGAATATAATGATTAGTTTAAACCTACTCATGTCTAAAAGCCACCTTTGGTGTAACTCTATTTACTTCAGTTAAATTATATTTGAGGATCAATTTAACCCACTGTGGTTAAGCATCCTGTTTCAGCATCTAATTATATGTTGTTGCTACTACCGTTATCCATTAAAACTAAGTTTTCATTGCCTTTTTTAATGAATGGATGGAATGAAGCTTTTTATATAATAACAAAAAATTGAGTGTACAGCTAGCCAAACTACTTAAAATTAAATTGCATTTGAGGGAATTAAATATAAATTAATCTATCTTTATTGCATGAATCCTAGATTTGCCAACCTTTCGGCTCCTACTGCTTGCTGAAGCAATTTTAGTTTTTCGTATGTAACATTCCAGGATTTAAAGATGGAGGCTGGTTTAATATGGAAGGCTTGTACTTCCTAAATACTTCATAAATTGAGGGTTAATGCCTGTTTTTGCCCAAATTACATATGTGATTACAGTAAGGTTGAACGTTTTTGAATGTACAAATTTTATAAACAGGCAGAATTTTGTAAATGCATTGGTAAGATGCTGGTGTTAACTGAAAACCAGGTAAAATAACGTAGGCTAGCTTATCTGCAGTGGCAGTTTTAATTATGTTGGATATGTTCTAAAAGTCTTAAAATCCTTTTTTTCTTGGGGGAATTCTTATTAGTAGATGTGTTTTGAACTTAGATTTGAGTTCAAAAGGTGAACATCAGAAGGTGCCATTTTCAAGGTATCTAGCTACTTGACAAACTGACAAAACCTAACTTCTATTGCTGCAGTAGAACCTATATGAAAACCTAAAATAAAAATGCGAACAGAATCCAATTTTAGTTTTTAGGGATTGCATTCACGTAGGATACTTGAGGTACATAGGCATTTGCAAAAAATATTTACACATCTTACATTTTACAAGCAATAGTCAAACTGTTAGTGAGATATGCATCCTCTTAGGAGCAAAACTGATCACTAAATGAGGCTTATAGTGTGGGAACAATGTATTTCTTTTATTTCTCAGCAATTTTTAATGAGGGAGAGAATTCCTGGAGGACTTGGGTTTTGCTCAGCTCTACTACTGTTCTGCACTGTTTGCTCTGTAACTGGAGAACACCAGCTAGGAAGGGCCTGTGTTTTAATGCATTTCATTGCACTTCTCTAAAAATGATTGTCTCAAGTTCACTGAACAGGAAAACAAAAAGAAAAGAAAATCACTTTAAGCAAAACCATAGTAAAGTGAGTGCTACTTTGTAGGTAGCAAATCTTGTAGGTAGCAAACCTTTGAGTAGTTTTTCTGTAGCAACTTTAACGTCAGTACAATTTTAATAGGTGGCTATTAATAAAGCAAGTCCTGTATGCTTTCACTGCAAAAAATACTTGCTGAAGTTATTTTAGCATAGGTAGCATCTCCTGCTAACATGCATTCATTTCATTTTCCCCGTGGAAACTCCTATCTTTGGTAGAAATAACCATTCTGAAGAGAACTGCACAGGGAAATTGTAAGTGGTCTCTAGATGAAGGTAATGATTATATTTTCTAAAGGGGGAAAGAAAGTCAGCAGGTTTACCGTGTGACGAGAAAGAGCTCAACATCAGCAACATGTGGTTATACTAATAAACATGTTGTGGGTAGCCGAATAGTAACAGATGAAATTACTGAATTTTCCTAGCATATTGACAAGGTATTGGATAAATCTGAAAATAACAGTAATAAATCAGGGGATGAGGCACCTGAGAAGGTCAAGAATATTTTTTAAAATTTATTTTGGTTCTTTAGGGAACATTTTATTTATTCAATTAGGCACCTAAAGGAAGGAATGCCAGCAAAAATGGTTTGTGCTGGGTGCTTCAGCAAAGGTATGAGACAGTGGTAGGAAAGCAGTGGGGGATCTTGAGGAAAAAGTGAACCGCTGTGTCTGCACTCTTCTGATAGAAACAAGCAGTTCCTCATGTTACCAAAAAACCAACAGTTGAACCCAAACAGTTGATGCCAACATCCTCCCAGCTCCAAAAGGTCATTGCAGACCGTTACACCAGTGCCGAATGCTCTTGGTTCAGCGCACCGACGCATCCACCACGGGGGGCTGAGGGAGGCAGTTGCCCGAGGGCTCCCATCTGGCAGCCCATGGCGTCCTCCTGCCCTGGGCCTTGCTGCAGGGCCCGTGTTCTTCCTCCCTCTGCCCCACAAACCAATGTCGCTGTGCCTGATCTTTTGCTTTCGCTGTTGACTTCAGGAGGTTATGTTGAAAGCTGCCGGGATTTCCCCCTGTTCCTGAGGGCAGATATGGCAATGTTAGACGGCTCAAAAATTAGTGTCATTATATACAGATTGTGGGGGAGATTGATGTCACACCTTTCCTAATATTAAAGTCCTCTGCTGCTCAATTTTTATACTCTTCTAATGTAGGCATTTTAATTTAAAATACAGTAGTGTCTTAAGGGACCGTAGACCACAAAACACGGAGACGACACAGAATAGTACAGTTTTGTATTTATATTTTTGACTGGCAGCCATCTTAATCTCAAATACTTATTCTCAGAAAAACAACCCTTCTTAATAGTTCAGTTTAATGGCATCCTCCAAAGGCTGTATTATCTTCCAATGCCTTTTGTGGAGAAGGAAGTCAGAATTTGTTTGCTAGGGTTACTTTTCAGTTGCTTCATTATTAACAGGTGTACCATGTGTTTTTTAGAGGTGTATAATTTCCTGTTTGTAGTTTCTGATTTAATTAACTACATCTGCTTGAGGTTGAAACAGAGTGATGTATATAAGCAAGTTCTATGAGCATTTGTAGAGGAGATAAAAATACAAATGCTCCCTTATTTATTTTTGTTTAGCAAATATTACTGGTTATCATTTCTCAGTGCTCAGGAATGTCCACAATATGTTCACTAAGTCTGGGTCAGATTTAGGCATAGTTTTTGGTTTTCCTTATTTATCCATGTGCCTTGTTTTCTGAAGTTAACCGTTGTGCTAATTTCATGTACTCATGTTGTTTGTTGATCTACTTCCAAATTACCTGGCTTTTCTTTTATTGAAAGATTGCTAATTGTGAAGCACTATTGATATTGGAGGGGACTGTTGTGTCTAAAGGAATTGCCCAAAAGCCTTTAGGTCCTATTTGTTTTTCCTTGCAGTAGTAAGCTGTTCTGCATGGCTGTCATCTATCAGTGTAGGTCTTTGCAGAGGAGATGGAGCCTTTATAATACAGGGAGTATATGCTGGTGATAGTCCCTTTATTTTGCACGTTCTGCATGCTGTTACCAACATGTAGCAGTGATTGAGAAAAAACTAATAACTGGCTCATCATTAGACTAATGGACACAAAGTTAATTGTGAAAGGAAGGGTTTCAAGAAATCTTGCCTTTGTGGAATATTGGCCTGGCCATCTGCTGATCTTCAAGGCATAAAACAGTCCTCATAGCTGTATCTCTGTAGTGATCCATGGGAACACTTCTGGTATTCCAAGTATTGGTATTCCCTGTTGTATCTTGACTCCATAGGGTGGAAAACCCAGGCACATGGGCCAGAGGCAAGTTATGCTCTTATGTTCTGGCCAGAGTTTCAGTTTGGGTGCCTGGGAGCAAGGACTGTAGGGTCTACTGTGTAGAG